TGCTGCCTTTTGAACACTACACACAGGAGGCTTGGCCACACCGGAGCAAAACCACCGGCTCTCGGCTCTCGGCTCTCGGCTGAGTGACTCCGGCCAATCCGATACCAGCCCACAAGCCCATCCTGCCTGCCCAGCCTTTCCTGAGCTCCCAGGGAGCCCCTGCCAGGTGACAAGGCCTTTTTGGGGGAGGCACTGACATCACCGTGACACCCATAGACGCAGCTGCCCTGATTGAGATGTCCGGAGGAGGGGCTCCCACAGAGCTGCTGCCTGAGGGGGAAAGAGGAGCCATTATCAGCTGAATGTGTGGAGGACTTCCTGATGGAAGCAGGGGAGTGTTCTGTGAAGGCTGCAGTCATTTTTCTGGAGATCACTTTAGAGTCCTCCAGAGACGTCCCCAAATACTCTCCTTCAACCTTATTGAGAACCCCCACCTGTGAGGACCTAGAAAGCCCAGGACCTAGGTCAGGTTGAGGAAATTCGGTCTTGGAAGCTCAGAGCGGCAGACAGGCTGGATGGACACATGAGGGGCTCCACTGATTTGCCCGGAGGAGAAAGGGTCTCAGATCAGAGCTCTCCTTGGAAAGGGCAGAGAGGGCTGGCAGTCTGTTGGAAAATGCTTGTTCAAAAGAGTGTCTTTTTCTAGGAGGGAAAATTTTCCACAAATCCTCTTGTCAACCACCTGTCAATATCACATTCCCCAGGTCTGGCAAATACTTCCTGAGAATATCACACCCAGCTGCTGACTCCAGGGCTATCCCTTCCTGTTCATAAAGACTTCCAGAAAAAACACCCTTGTTTCTCCAAGCTACACTGCTTCAGCACGACATATCCCTCCTCCAGGAAGCTTCTGTTTTATCATTTCCAATCTCTCCATTTTCTGGTGCCTTAAGTTAGACAACAATGAGTAACAACATCTCCTGGCTGCCCACTTTTGCCAAGGCTTGACATTAAACACACATCACATGCTATGAATTGCAGATGAAATTTATTGTACAGACACCAAGACCACAGCACTTTAGGTGCAGAGCCAATATGATGGAATATATACCCAGAAACATGATTCCTAGGGAGAGTGCTGGGGAAAGACACAGGCTTTGAGATGAGGTCCTCAACAGACTACCTGGTGGGAAAAGGCCCACCAGAAGGGCAATGTAAGCAGGGGCCAGGAAAGAGGGCAGAGCTGGAAGCACAAATGTAGACAATGCAGATTATTCCCCAGGGGGCAGAGGGTGGCACTGACTCCAATTAATCGAACTGGAGAGAAGAAATTTCAAAAATTGTATGTGGGTATCTCTGTCCCCCAAAATACCATCAGAGATGGATGACAGGTTTAACTTGCTGTCAGTTAAATGTACAGAGACAGGCTTCTACATTCTGGAGTGGGACAGTCAAGGGCAGGACTCCCTCTTTATCCAATAGAGAAGGTCATTCTGTAACCACAGCCTTCACCTGAGCCAGAACCATCCTTTTCAGAGCAAGAGCTCTCCCCCTCCAGAACCAAAGCCTCCTCTGGAGCCACCTCCAGAGCTGTGTCCTCCTCCAGAGCTAGAACCTCCTCGAGCACTGCCTCCAGAGCTGTATTTTCCTCCGGAGCCACCTCCAGAACCGTATCTGCCTCCCAGGTCAGAGCCGCCTCTGGAGGCCCCTCCACCGCCACCACTGGAGATCTGTCCTCTGCCTCTAGAGCCATAACTGCTGCTTCCAGAGCTGTAGCCTCCTCCTCCAGAACTGGATCCTCTACCTCCAGAACCACGGCCTCCAAAGCCAGCATTGGACGCCATACTGGAGGAAATGGTGCTGTTTGTCACCGCTGCAGAGAGAGGTGGTGTTAGCACAGCAGGTCCACTGCCTCAGCCTGCCTCCCCACACTCCACCCACAGGACGGGAGCACTCCTAGACACTTACACACTGTCACGTTGTTGCTGATGTCTCCAGACATCCTGTCCGGGAGGGAGAGAAAACAGCTCATGGCAGAGCACTTGGGTTCTGTGTACGTGTTTTACCACTTCTACCCAAAAAACCAGTCCCCAGTGCCTTCCAGAGCCCACCTCTTCATGCTGCCAGATTATAGAGATGTGGCAAGCCCCACATTTCTGCATCACTGGCATCCTAATCCATCTCAAATTTTTGCTTTGGCAAAAATGATCAAAAAGCAAATTTACTTCTGACTTTGCAACCCATTTTTGTATTTAACTGTCTTTTAGAGTCTGATATTCAGAATCCAAGCCACGCCAGGAATCTTGAAATGAGGCTGCACTATGAGCATTTAATTCAGAAAGAATTGCAGCACCCTCCTGATACCGGCCTCCTGCTCCACCCTCCTCTGCTTCATCTGAAATCTTTCCCACATCCTCTAGCAAGCTGGAGATTGGAGGCATGGCCTAGCAGACAGAAGAGAGCAATAGCCTGAGCAAAGAGGCTTGATCATCCTGGCTTGCTGGTGGCCTGGGGTAGCTTTTCCCAGATTAAATCACCAGGGATGCTGCTAGCTGACAAAGGTCCCAGACCACAGCAGGAGAAAAGGTTCCCCTTTTGGGGGTTAGCAAATGGTTCTGTTTGTCACTCCAGAAACCTACAAAGAACTAGGCTGGCATCTGTTCCAGGTGAGCTGTCAGCCAGTCATGCCTTGGCAGGCAGCACCTTCCAACACACGATCTCCCCACTCTGGGTCACAAGGTCGGGGGAGAAGAGGCTCCTCACCCTGCAGACCCAGAGACCAATGTTTCATTCAGACTGTCTAGGATTAACCTGTCTTAACAGCATTCTGTTCTCTCTTTCAGAAAAGACCAAAATTAACTTATTGCTTAGTTTAACTTAATCTGCTTTGTTAGTCATCCACACTGATGAATCTACGGGCTGTACACTAATGCCTGAATCTCTGCTTGGGGAACTCAGGGATGACAGCCCTCAGCCAGCAGAAGACCCTACCCCACTTCTGCTTTCTCTACCATTGCCTCCAGCCCTGGTTCTAGGAGAGAGGGGAACATGGGCCAGGGTACCATTCCGCCCTCCCAGGGCCCCTCACCGGCTCTCCTCGCCCTCCAGCATCTTGCGGTAGGTGGCGATCTCCACATCCATGGTCAGCTTGATGTTGAGCAGCTCCTGGTAGTCGCGCAGCAGCCCAGTCAGGTTCTCCCTGGCCGGCTGCAAAGCATCCTCCATCTCAGCCATCTTGTTCTGGGCATCTTTGAGAGCGTGCTCTCCCTTCTGCTCATCATCTGCCATGGCTTCTTGCAGGCTCTTAGACTAGGAGAGAAGGTGACAAGGTTTCTGTTCATACAGAGAGTCTGCCTGGCAGAAGGGGAGAGGAAGCAGAAGTGTTTAGGGTGTGGGAAGCCAGAATCAGCAGCCCTGGAGTGCTGAGTCTCCCTTGAGTTAATGCAAGACAACTGTGCTGAGACTTGCCGCTGTCTCTGGGCCATCATCTTCCCAAATCACCTTTAACTGGCCCTTACACTTCCCCATAATGACCTTTGATCCTCACAGTACAGGCCCAGAGTCATTACCCCATTTTATAGCTGCATAGGAAAACATTCTATGTGGACTGCTTCACAGAACTGCTGCTTAGGGAGTCAACTCTCCACCCCACATTATCTCTTCTAAAGCTAACCTATGGCCTCAGGCCACCTCCCGCCAGCCCACTGGGCCTCCCGTCACACAGCCAGGCAATGCCTAAGGCTTGTGCTAAGCATAGATGGGAAGTTACGCCTGCCATCCTCCGCAAGTCAAGTGACCTCTTGCTTCATTTGTTATTGTTCCCATTCACTGTGCAAACAATCAGAGGTTAACACATTTCTGGCCCTGTCCTCATCCTTACTTTAAAAGGGCTCTCAGACCACTCTAAAATTTATTATAAGCCTTAAATTATGTTACACATGAGGCACTGGGAACAACATATGCTTGCCTTAGTTTCCTAGGTTCTCCCCTGTCCCTCTCTCACACATGCACTCACACCCCTGCATAGAACCTTCACCCCACACTGAGCCCCACTGAGCCCGTGGAGCAGTGCCAGTCCTCAGGGCCATGCCACACCTGCTTCTTCACATGGGTGATCTCCCCTTGCAGCCTCTGGATCGTGCGCTTCAGCTCACCGATCTCCATCTTGACTTCTTTCAGGCTGTCCCCGTGTTTCCCAGCAGTAACCTGGAGCTCTTCGTACTGTGCAGGAAGAGGAGGGCAGTTGCAGCTTGGAGGAAGCTTGGCTTGGGCTGAGGAAAGTCTGATACTGGTCCAGGGAGGACCAACCAAGCTGAATGCCATGGTGCCTTCATGGGAGGTGGGGGACCATCTCACACCCACAGAAGACTCAGTGCCATTTTTTATTGAGGGCATTTGGGGTACTATGGGCACACTTTCTTGGGAATGATGCCCAACTTCCATTAGACAAAAACACCCATAACCTTATAATTTTCTGGCTGGGGTGAAGCCCAGCCTGGTGGCAGGGGCTGAGGCCCCTGCTCTCCTCATACCCACCTTGGTCTGGTACAGGGTCTCTGCCTCGGCCTTGCTCCTCTGGGCAATCTCGTCATACTGGGCACGGACCTCAGAGATGATGCTGTCCAGGTCCAGGCTCCTGTTGTTGTCCATGGACAGGATGACGTTGGTGTTGGTGATCTGCTGTTGCATCTGGGACAGCTCCTGCAACACACGGGAGGTCTGGCCACGGCTTCCCTGCCCACAGCCAAAGGCAGTAAGGAGGCAGCCCCATGCCCAGGCTTAGGCAAATACACAGATTCCTACACTAAGCATGCACTGGGTGGCATTTAAAGCAATATAACCACCATTCTTAGGCCTCTGTCAAGGTTGTCCTGAGAATTATAGGAGAGGAATCTGTGCTTCTGAGCCTCTTATTTAGCAGCCTTCACCATTTATGCTGTTTTGATAAGTTTAATACAGTTTGATGCCCCCAGAAGGAAACCAGCCACTGGCAAATGCCTTCAATTTTATTTCCTGTTTCAGAAGTCACATGCGTGCCTTTGGGCAGAGACGCAGGGAGAATATTGCATTTTGATATCTGTAGTACATGGAATCGGAAAAGAATAAGTCTCTTCTTAACGGGAGCTGGACATTTGGGGAACAGAATGAGGGGAAATTGTCCTGGGATTTCCTGAGCCCTACTTGTACGGTATCAGAAGAAAATCCCCTCTCCCACTATATCTACACCATAGAAGCTCCCAAATGGACCAAAATGATAACAAGTTGAAGTTAGGCAGTCCATAAACCCCACTCATGCCAACTTCCCACCAAACGGGAAGGACTTTCCTTTGGTGGGAAGGGTGGGAAGCAAGAATCTACCCAGGAATAGCCTCCTTACCACATCAAAGAGGGTTCTCATGAACTCAGCCTCCTGGTTCAGCATGCCTGCCTTGGCCTGTAGCTCCACGTTGGCCTTGTAGGCATTGTCCACATCCTTCAGGGAAGGTTAGGGGCCTCTGGTAAAACTCATGCCTCCCCCTCCTTTGCCCAGGGTATGGGTCCTACCCTCTCCTGGCCACCCTTCTCCAGCCAGTCACTGTGAGCGGCTCTCCAGCATCCCACGCACCTCAGGGAGCCATGTCCCCAAGGGAACCCATTTGGCCTGGAGTCCACAATGCTGCAGGCTCCATGCCCACTTCACTGGTCCTGTCTCCTGACACTGTCGGAGCTCTAATGGGACCAAGCTTTGTGAGCCATTCTCTCCCTCCAGCTTGAGACACTGTGTTCCCACTGTGGGGCACAATGGTCTCAGTGGCTTTTAGCAGTCCTCAACTCATCCTATCTGTCCAGCCCACCTCTCCCGAATTCTCTGGCTTTTACACCAAAGCCTCTGTAGGCACCAGGCTGAGAACCCACTTGCCTTCTAACTCAAGCCTTTGCCAGCACAACTGACCCTATCAGTTGGCAGGTATTCTAAGAGAAGTCCATTCCTTCCTCAGCCCTTTAGGAGAAAAATTAAGCATTCTCTGTGTTTTTATCTTTCATGATCCAATAGGCACTTTAAGAAGCTTATTGGTGGTAAATGCTCTAGCCAATTTCCAGAACAACTCCAGAAACTTAACCTACAGAGACACTTTGGTTGCCAGTAAAACCAACCATGGACACGCCTCACTCCTTCCCCTGGCTACTGCTTTTTCTCAGCCTGTTTGGACACCATGGGCCCCTAAAACACCCTCATTCCCGCCCCAGCCATGACGTTCTCTCTCTCACCTTTTTAAGGGTCACAAACTCATTCTCAGCAGTCATGCGCTTGTTGATTTCATCCTCATACCTGTTGGGACCCAGGGACACAGCCATTATATTGGTTCTAGTTTGTTGACTCTTTCCCTTTTTCCACTGGACTCACCCCAAATACTTCATCCTCTGGCAATATTAAGCACTCTTTAACTGTCTCAGTTGAAACTATGATATATCAAATGAGGATGCTTTCTATAAATTAACCCTCAAATATGGACAAAACACAACTTCTAAAGCCCTAAATATCTTCCTCACAAATAGTCTACAAAGACTCAGATGCCTCTCCCTTTTATCACCACAAACGCCACTGGGAGATGAGTGGTTTTCTGGGGGACAGATCCAACAACTCAGATCAATATTTTTCTCACTCAGTGTTTACTCTGACACCTACTTCTTCTTAAAATCCTCCACGAGATCCTGCATGTTGTTCAGCTCTGAATCTTGCGATGTTCTTTCTGCCAAGAGTGCATTCAATTGATTTGTCAGTTTTTCAATGTACTCCTGAAAGCTGAACTCCAGGTTGACTCTGTGGCTTCTGACGTCGATTTGCTGCAGCAGCTCCCATTTGGTCTGCAGCACCTGGTTCTGCTGCTCCAGGAACCGCACCTGCAGTGACCAGAAGGACAGTACATGAGCCCTCGGTTGCCCTTCCTGCCAACAGGCCACACCCACCAGAGTCAGCTCTGGTCCAGCTTCCGGATGCAGAGCAGTCTACGCAGCTTTGTCCTCACCAGCTGGTTGCCAGATAATGCCAGGCAGAGCTTCAGAGCTCTCTGCCTCTGCAGCTGAAAAGTTCTACAGACTCCTAAGGTTACATCTGGCATGCTCCATGCAGAGAACTTCTTTTCGTACTTCACTGCCCACTATTTTGTTTGCAGCTACTCCCAAGATTCCAGGCCATTTCCCTTTTCCATCCTAGTTGAATTCCTGGCAAAGGTCCCGTAAATTCTTGGGAGAAACAAAAGCAAGCATACACTGTCACTGCACCTGAAGGTGCTGCATGTGAGCGCGCTGGAGGGCGTGGCTCCTCAGTCTGGTTTTGAGAGCCTTGTAAATTCCTTAGACAGCTTCATTTGCTTTGAAATAGGAGAAAATGCTACTACACTCCTGAGTGACCCCAATAAAGATTTTATGGGTCACAAAACTTGGAGTGCTTCCCTTGAAGGCTGGAATCTCATTCATCCCCAAGCAGATATTTCAGGTTCTGCTTCCCAGGATTTAACAGAGTGGTAACTTCCAAGGAAAGGAAGACTATCTCAGAAGAGGATGTCTTCCCAATCCCTTCCAAACCTGCTCTGTCACATGGCCTGAACTGGCCAGCCAGTTTCTTGTCTATATCAGGGTTTCTGTGATTTTTCAAAATTTTCTCTAAGTGGTATTTATTTAGCCTGAAACCATAAACCCAAAGGCACAAATCATTCCTATCTGCAGGCTGTTAAAGAAGATGTAGCCGCGAAGCCGGCATCTTTCCCATTTGGATGTTGCCGGTAACACAGGCCAGTAAGACCGCAGCAGTGGTATCTGAAAGAAACAGATCTTTGTCATTCACTTTTCAATTAGCCTGGAAGGAGGGTCTCCTGAGCATCAGACAGAGCCATCTTCTCTTGACGCACCTTGTCAATGAAGGACGCAAATTTGTTGTTGAGATTTTTAATCTGCTCCCGCTCCTGAGACTTCACTTTCTGGATCTCTGGGTCAACTTCCACGTTGAAAGGCTGCAGGAGGTTCTTGTTGACAGAGACTTCATGGATACCTCCACCAGGGAATCCTGCAAGCCCCAAGCCCCCAGGACCCCCAAAACCTCCAAAGCCACCACCCCCTCTGAAGCTACCTCCACCGAAGCCACTGCCCCTGAAGCCACTGCCCCCTCCGAAGCCACCTCCTCTGCCCCCAAATCCACCACTGGAGCCTCCTCCAGCCATACTAAGGTAGATGCTTCTGGTCCCTCCAAGCCCAACTAGGCTCTGACTGCTGAAGCCACCTCCACCAAAGCCCCCTCTGCCACCGCCATGGCGGCTCAGGCAGGAGAAACCAGAAGCTGATCTCTGACTCCCACCAGAGACCACGGCCGAGCCTCCGCTGAAGCCCTGGAATCTTCCTCCACCTCCTCCTCCGAATCCCTGAGATTTGTACGAGATCTCACAGCTCATGATGCCTTTGCCCAGCAAGGGAAGCTGAAGATTCCTGAGAGGAGGTAAGGCTGGAGACTCAACTCAGCCGCTGAGACTGTCAGGGTCCTCTTATATACCTGCCAGCGAGGCGTGGGTGTGCTTGGGTGTGGGCCCACTTAACGCATGGGTTTGGTCTGCCTGGAAGCTACTCCTGGTGAGTGATTATCAAGCTAATAACCATTAAAACTCTACTAATAGGCTCCATCCCAAAGCTGCTTTGATTCCAATTTCTCCTGTTGATCTGGGCATCTATCATGCAATTCGATTTCTATGAAATCATCAAAAGAGGAGATCAGCACGTGGGTTTCTCAGTCTGAAAAAGGAACTTCAGCAATGTTGCTCCCTCTTCTATACCAACCCAAGGGAGGGCAGCTAACACTCAGACCTGGGCATCTTGCCACCCAGTTCAGCTGATGAGAGAGACTGTAGGTCTAGAGACTGTACAGAGGCCCTTCAGTACCAGCTTTATAGTTCTCCTTGCTTTTCCCTCTGCTCCAGTAAGACTTTTACCCTCTGTTCCAGGAAGTGCTTTTGCAGAGCACACATGTGATAATGGGGTAAAAAGCATCCTTTTACAGAAGGAAGTTGACCTACAATGCTTCAAAAAAGTTGTCATTTTTCAAAATATCTTGACTCTTTCTTACCCGTGCCACACCAGGAATGAGAGTCAATGAGGAGAGAATTTCATTCCTGTAACCAAAAGTCTTTATAACCATCAACTCTGTCAGTTTTCTACATGAAAACCCAGAAGATGAGGGGCATAAGGGAAGTTTCTCTGTTCCTGAGTGTGTTCCTCTGGGCACCCAACAAAAGGTTGCAATCAAAGGCTTTATAGAGCTCTAAAACCTAAATGTACATTGATTCAGCTAGTCAGTAATCATGTGTTGCCCAGTGATTCTGCTAAGCAATTAGGAAGCTGTACTCCTCAATGACTCCCAGAGATGGGTGACTATCAGAAGTCCCATAGAGTCACTAAGTGCATATGAATATGGGTGCTACAAAAACAGATCCAATAATATACGAATGTGCTAAACAAAGTTGCTAGTTAATAGCAAGACCTTGATAAGTTTTCATCTTCTTGCACCCCCTCCCCCAAATCTTCCATCCATCCCTAAGTGGGACTGAGAGTGGGGAACAGAGAGCTAGCAATTAAAGATATTCAATGTGCAATAAGTGAATACTGAAGGAAGCAAATCCATGTGTCTCCTTGATTTTTTTCCCCCAATCTGGTGTATATAATCATAAGCATGCAAGTAAATCACAAAACTGAAATCTCTGGGGAAAGCCTCAATCCAGAGCCAAATGTGTCATTATCTATGGATTTTTGAACAACACCTTAATTGCCCATTATGCCACGGTGATTCTGCCAAGACCTCATTGGCTTCAGGGGGGTCTTAGTCCCTCTGTGAAGAAAAGGAATGGACCTCAATTGAGCATCTGCCATGCTCTAGGCTTGTGCCAGCACACAGTCTATGTGTTTTCCTTCTCTATAACCCTGCTTTCAGACCCAGTCCCCCTTCCTGTACTCTGCACTGGGCACCCTTCCCTTCCAGATTAGAGCCATTCACTGGGTTTTGAAGGTCAAGTTGAAGAGGGTGAGTCATCCTCTTCTCTCTAAATGTGGAAGGTAGGATTCATGCAATTTAGTTATTATATAACATTTTATTTCCGTTTTTTTAATCTTTACCTTTTACATGATGTCAATGTGCTCGTCTCAAGCACATGTTCTGCCTTTAAGGGGGTGAGATGGGAGTTAAGGCTCTGGGTTCTGGCTGTGATTTTGCAGCTGACTTCCACTGTGATCCTCAATTTCTTCACCTCTGAATTGGAAACATTTATTCTGGATCTCACTATCCCACAAGGATGCTGACCTGTTGGTGTAATAGGTTTTAAGCTTTGCTGTCTCTGGAAATAGAACAGGGATCCTGTAGGACAAAAGCCTTCTTGCAACAAGCTGCTGGCAAGCCCAGGCCCCTAAGTGCTTCTCCTCAGAGGTTTTCAGAAGCACATCCCTTGGCCAGTGGAGCAGAGAAGTTAAGTCCCTAGTGCTAAACTGAGAGGGATGACTGTTTAGCCAGTGGAAAAAAGGATGAATGCTGACCCCAGATTCTCCCTGTGGGAATTACATCCCCCTCATACTCCCTTAGTAGCATGAGTACCTCCTACAGACTCAGCACAGCTTCTTGTGTTACAATGAGCCACCTCACTGGACTTCTGTAGGGCAGGGCAGGTCAGATTTATCTCAACCCCAAACCTCTATCCCCTAGCACAGAGCAGTCACTCAGAGAGTAAGCCTACCACCTGAAAATCATCTCTAGGGTTTGCAGTTTGGAATTGCAGGTTTTCCCTGATGTGGGAATGTGCTGTTAGCAATGCTTACGTCTTCACAGCCTTCTCAGTACCTGTTCCCTAGGGATTAGGGATCCCCCACCCCGGGAAGGTGCCTCAGGGTTCTGTCCCACCCGCCACCCACCCCACCAGCGAGCTAAATTAGTCTCTCCTTCCAAAGCCTCAAAGCATCAGCTGAACAGAGCTATCCACCCTCAAGCCATCTGGTTCACACTGCACTCTGGGCTAACCAAGTGTTTGCCTTTCAAAAACAAAACAGAACAACAAACCCTCCTCTTCCGGCCCCTGCTGCTGAGTTCAGGCCAGCACCCATTCAGAATCCGATCATACTAAGAAAAAAGTTCAGAAAACAATGAGGACAGCTAGCAGCAGACTGGAACCATGCTGCGCACAGGCCTGCAGCAGAAACCTCCCCAGGCAGCTGCTGCCTGGTCCCTGCACCACCTGCTGAGCCTGGAGCCTTCTGTCTGAGTAGGCAGGTGCTGCCCCAGAGAGCTCCCAGCTCTAGCTGCTCCAAGGGAAGGTGGCACAGGAGGCTTGCAGGCTCCCAACAGGAGCCACTTGCTCAATAACTCCTCCAGGGAATTCTTTGTAAACAATTATTTTAAAACTGCTCACTCAGTCTTTACTCCCAGCTGCTGACCCAGGCCTCAGTTACAGCCTCGGGCCCTCCTCCTTTCTTACCTAACATGTTCTTTCTCATTTTGTTGTTTTCAGTTTACTCGATTTCATACCACCAACCCTGGAACCCCATGGCTACTGAGTCTAAGGTGCCCTGGCCAAACTGCTTGTAACCTGGAAGCCAGGCTGGCAGGCAGCCAGGCCTACCCCACTGTGAAGTACCCAGCCCCGCACTGTGTTTTGGAATTAGGACACTCCAGGACATACACACCCAGCTCCGCAGGAGAGCAGGCCCTTGCTCACTGCTCAGAAACAACACACACCCCAAAACAGAGGAGGAATGAGGGCAAGAACACCACCTGGGACATGGCAGGGCCTCAACACATGCTGGTTGAGTTAATGACACAACCCAGCAATCGAGGAATGAGGCCTCCAGCACAGTGCCTGGAACATAGTAGGTGCTCAACAATGTCACTTCCTTACCCACTGCTGCGGCCATGGATATCCCATGGAGTTCTCATTTGCTAATTGGGAATTGTCTCATTTCCAGCAGATCTGACCCAGACAATGGGAAGTTACACATCTCAGCCTCGCTGCCTCCAGGTCAGTCCCCAGCTTAACACACCCCGTTCTGTGATGGCTACCTACAACTTAGGGGGCATGTGCTTTGGGTGCTAAAATGCTGTCTAGTTAATGATATCACTCTGACATTTGTGCCTGTATGTTTCCACATGTAACATGTCTTCATCACACAGAAAAAGCTGGAGAAGTGTCTTTGTGACACTTGTGGCCCCTGTACCAAGTGCCCACTGGGAGTTCCGTCAGATGCCTTCTGCTCACTCCTTTCCTCCCTCCTGCAGAGCCCACCTCACCCTTCCCCATCACTTAAACCTGCCTCCATCACATGAGCTCTTGTACTTCTTTCAAGGCTTCCTGTGTTGGGTTGGCTGGGGATAATGGTGGGAGGGGGCAGGTGGAGAAGCACACCCCCAAAAAAATAATAAGAGCAAGAAAATCGTGAAAACAAATGGAATTATAAACGACCAAACAGTTTCTTATTTCAAGAGATTCCTGTTCCTCAGTGTAGCAACAAATCTCTTCAAGATGCTGTTAGACCTGTGAGAGCTGGGATGCCTTATTTTGGAAGGAATGGCCAAAGGGCTTGATTCTGGATGACCTACTTGCTATAGGAATCCAACAAAAAAAAAGAAGATAACTGTTCAAACCTCTCTGGACAGCTTTTTTCTTTTCTTCACATCAAAAACCATGAGTCTTCCAAACGCTTCTTCAAAGCCTTTTAAATTCTAAAAGAGCAAGTGAAATCATTGCTAATTAAACAGTACATGTTTAATAGAGCAAGAACAGTTAGTTACTTATTTCGAATATGCAAAGTTTATGATGCAAATTATATTTTTATGAGCCACCAGCATGTTTCATAACCCATCAGGCATTCAAAGTTTTATATGTGTCTCTGTTTAGCAGTACTTCCGAAAGGAAAACTCTGTGATGAACTGAGAAGAGCATGTTTAGTTGTAAAGGTCAAGTCCCTGTGCCAGGAACTGGCTGTGTGACCTTGGGATGTCACCTCTCTTGCTGGGCCTCCCTCTCCTCACCTGCGGACTGAGGGGTTTGGAAATCAACAGGAGTAGAAAGAGCATTAGATGATGGTCAGAGAACCTGCATTCTATTTGCAGCCCTGTACCTAGCTGACCCCAGGACTAGGGGCAGCCTATAGCCTTGGCTTTGAGCCTTGGTTTTCTCATTTGGGAAATGGAGCTGTTGAACTTCATCCCCGCAAGGGTCCACTGAAGTCATTTTGTGCTTCAAATGGACATTCATAGGAAAAGCCCCAAGGCTGAAGCAAACTCGGGGGGAACTTGGAAAAGAAAACTCATACACCTAGCCCCCACTGTCATTTATTCTCTCACTGAGGGACAGTGGAAGAAATGGCAGCCAAGGGCAGACAGGGGAAGCTAGAGAGACCAAGGGCAAACAGCTATGGCTTCAGC